CACAGATCTGGGGGCACATACCCATGCCCTCCCCCAACAGTTAAAGCTGCCACCCCCTCCCTATGCTGGGCGCCTCCCCCCCAGACAAGCCACTCGCGGCTCCATCCCGTGCCCCATTTGGGGGGGCTGAGTGTGTGCGTATGCATGCACGTGCTCAGCCCCCCCAAATAACTTGTTTTCCCTCTGCCTATGACCAGAGAGTTTTTATTAATTTGAATGAATTTACGTTGGCAAGACCCAGCAAAATCATCTCAGAGTGCTGAAAGAACTGGATCTTAAAGTCATTGGCTTGATTTACAAAGACATTATACCTCTCTAATTTATCTATAAAGGTGCAGATCTACCCTGCCTTTGGCTTGACTCCAGACTAACATGCCTAACTCCCTCTCTTTAATATTTACAAAGGCTCAATATGAGTCAGCAATGTGAGGTAGTGGCAAAAAAATAAATAACTAAAAAAGGAAAGATAATTTTGGGCTATATTACCAGAAATGTTGGGTGTAAGACTAGAAATAATAGTACTACTTTTTGGTGCTGATTAAGCCTTATTTTTTAAAGCATTAGAATGCAGTTTTAGACTCCACATGATTAGAAGGATGTGAAGTAGGAGAGGGTCCATAGGCAGGGAGCAAAAAAAAAGAGGTTGGAAGTTAAGCTGCATGAGGAAAGGCTGAGAAAATTAGGTATTCTTAGCTTGGAGAAATTGGGGGTTTTGATAGCAGTTTTCAAATATTGGAAAGGCTGCCACAGCAAAGAGAGAAAAACTGTTCTCCTTCACTGCAGAGGGCAGGACACAAAGCAGTGGCTTTAAATTGCAGCAAGATAGATTTCAGGATCAGATGTCACAATTTTTTCCTCATTGTTAGAACAAGACAACAGTAGAACAGAGTGCCTAGTAAATCTCCCTCTTTGGAGATGTGCTAGAGGAGGCTAGATAAGCATGGGACAGGAATGATTTAGATTTAGCATCTCTGCATTCATACAGGGGATTAGACTAGATGACCCTGAAGGTCCCTTTCCATCCTGTGGGTGCATCCAAATGAGCCCGCATGTGCCTTTTGCTACATCTCAAAGCACTTTGAGACACCACAAGAGGCACGCTAGGAAGAAAATAACGTTCTCTGTGCTACATATTTGCAGCATGGGCTCAAAATTTGATATTAAAAAAAAAAACCCGCAGAAAAAACATGACGCAGGGCACAACCCAGGATTGTGCCCTGAGGTAATTGGAGGCTGGGGTCCTCCAAACAGACACTCTGGTAGCTGGCCAGAGTGGCTTTATAGTTGCCCCTTTCCCTGATGCTGCAGCATGCTGCCACCGCATGTGGGGCAGCCTGGACCGGCGCAGGCTGCAGCCTGATGGGACTAGGCTCCATTGCAGATAAGTCAGGAAATGCGGGTGGGGAGGATTGGAGTGAGGCAGCTGTGTGGGTGCAGGGGACTGTGGGTGTGGGGAGAGGGGGAACTGCTTGGGAGGGGTGGGTCTACCTGGCCTGCCCTCCACATGGCCCACAGTCCCATCCCCTGCAGTTTAGTGCTGCCTCTTTCAAACAAAGCGCACATCAGCTAACATTCTACAAATGTAGTTAGGTCAAAGTGTGAATAAAACAAATTTGGAAAACTTAGACATGGTGAATATACCACATAGTCATCATCAGTTGTTGTAAATCATAGAATCATAGGGCATGGCCACACATGCAGGCACATGCGCTTGCAGCAGCTCAAATAGGAGCGGCACACATCTGTGCTGGGGATTTATGCTTCACTGCATGTGCCTGAACATGCACTTTGGTGTGGGGCAAGTTGTGCCACTTGGGGCAAAATTACCCTGCCCAGCTCCTCCTGGATCTGCAGCCAGGGGAAGCTAAAGCCTGGGGCCAGCACCTGTGCTGGCCCCAGCAGTATGAAAACCTACACTGTTTAGAAATTGCAAATACTCTGATAAGAAACCCAAATTCTCCTATTAAAGTACCCAAAATAGTGTTCTTCTGCTATTAAAATGAAATGCCACTATATAGAGAGAGATCAGTTGGGCAATGTTTTATTGATATATTTACAAGTGTAAACCAATTTAGTGGGGGAGGCTGGGGGAGTTTGTGGGTGGGAGTAGGGTTTGTGCGGGTGAGGTTTGGAGGAATGTGGGGCTTGTGCAGGGGTTTGAAGTTTGTGGCTGGGTATGTGGGTGAGGGGTTTGTGGGGGTGGCTTGGGGAAGTGGGTGTTGTGGGTGGATTGCTGAAGGACTGTG